CTGTGTCTGTGCTTTGAAAATATCACAGTTCATGTTCATGTTATTTTCAAATCATAAATCAGATGTTACTCTTGGAATTACGTTCATTTAGATGTTTTCCCAACTCTACTCTGAGTTAATTTCTTGAAATAAGCACAAAAATATTCAAAACATGAATAAAATCTTGCAAACATGTAGTTAGGTTAATCGTATTTCTCATTCTTCTAAACCATTTTGATTTTAATTTGAAAAAGCAGAGCACCAAACAATGGATTCCTCACAGCATTAAGCAGAGCAGACTCCTCGTCCTCAATAATGAAGCAAATAAATGATTTTCAACAAAAAACACAGAACAAAAGTGGAACTGGCTTCTGCAGCTTCAGCTTTGTGCTTTGAAATATTCAGAGGTAATGTTGTTTTCAATGAGTAAAACTATGAAATTACCTTCTGCAGTGAGAATTTAAAGAAACACTATGGCACATTTCTAGTAGGGAGCCGCTTGCTTTTCTTCTTGGAAATGGCATTTGGTTTTTGTTTTTTTTGTATATTCTAATGTTTCACAGAACGACATCAAGCAAATCCATCTCCATGGAGACAAGCGAGTGACATTAACCCAGGCCAAGTTACAGATCAGATTTTCAAGGTATTTTTGAACAATCATTTGAAGGTAGAGTGGAGCTTTTTAGAGATGGAAATATAAAGTTCAAACCACATTTTGAAACATTCTGCATGGAGACAGATGTGATTTATCCCACAGATTATAGCCAAAGGAACATTACTTGTGTGGAAACAGGCAGGAGAAGTCTGTCCTCCTGAGAGTCTGGTCTGTGCAGTGCACCTGAACAAAAGGATCATATGTAGTTTTGAACAAGACTTCAATTTAAACACAAATGTCAGTTTGTCCAAATCACTCAGACTTGAAATATCAAAGTAGAATCTGAACGTCCATTTGTGGTTTGTGATCATTTAAAGAAAAGATACAAATAATGAGTATAATATTAGAAATACACAGTTTCATGAGATTTCTTAAGTGTTATTTTCCATTCACAGAGGTGCACATGTAGCACCAAGAAAACATCTGTGTCACTTCACTTCACCTGTAGAGGCACTTACACACACAAAATATTATTAGAATATAGATTTTATGTAAAAAGCTATTTACATATCGACTTATTCTCCCTTTAAAACTGTGCTGTTTGTTGTGGATCCTCATTTTGCCTCATTCACATTTTAACTTCTGAGAGACAATTAAAAACTCTCCAAACTGAACACTGCAAAAAGAGTTGAACTCACATAAACACACACACACACTTGTCTGTACAGAGCAGTGGAGGAGGGAGAACCACTCACACAAATCAATCACACTCATAATAGTAATCAGACTCTTTTGATTTGATACAATATTTGAGGTTTATTCCAGTTTAAATGAAGAGTTGATGGTCTTAGCCCCTTTTGGAGAAGTGTGCATCGTTTCACACAAAAACAACAAAAACTGGAATGTAAAATCTTCAACGTTTGAGCCAAAAATGAGAAAGATACAAGTGCAAAACCAATGAAAAACACATTTAAAGGTAATATAGTCAATCAGCTTTAAAAATGAGCCAGTGTGTCTCAAAATATGTGGTAAACAGAAATCATTTAGAATCATTTTTAATAAATAGTGCAGTTTCCAACAACTGCTAATCAAAAAAGCAGAGGCTAGGGTTGCCAGATCCACACATGCGTTGCCAGTCAGATGGGAATTCAACACAAACCAAAGTAAATGATCATGATAAATGTTGCTTTCCCATTCAAAATGAGTTTAAATCTAAAAAGCCACACTATGTAAATTTTCTGAGGGTCTCCATGGAGATGTTATGGCTTTGCCTGAAATGTTCCATAGTGTGGCATTAAACACATTTATTTCCATAAAGAAAAGCAGGTTACGCTAAGAGAAATTTTCTTAGCAATAAAATATTTGTAATTGAATGAATGATGTTTAACGCCAAATAAGACAAGAACATCTCCATAGAGACAATCAGGTCATTATGTGAGAAAAGTTACAAAGTGGTTCTTTAAAAAATAGAATTAGTAATAATGACAAATCTGCGTGGTTCCAATACCAATTTCTTCTTGCTTGTAAAAATTCATAGTTTAGAATTGTGAAATGACATAGAGAGATCCCAGTCCAAGTTATTCTTCAATTAGAAAAAAATATAATAATAAAAAAAAAATCATAATCTCAAGATGTCGCAGTCTGAGTTGCCAGACCCACAAAAATGATCTTGTTAACTGGAAAAAAAAGTGTAAATGTTAAACTAAAACTGTAGATGTGGCTTGTTGCATATATTACCTTTAAACACTGTGAAATCTGATGAGGAGAGGAGGAAGAGGAGAGGAGCAGGAGAGAAAGAGGAAGAGGAGAGGAGGAAAAGGAGAGGAGGAGGAGAGAAGGAAGAGGAAAGAAGAGGGAGACAGTTTAAAGAAGAAGCGATATTAGCGATAACATCAGCCTTGGCGGCTCACTGCATAACTGCTGCATATTAAGTACAGATATACGCTCATATAAATAGTAGTCAAATATTAACCAGTATCAATAAGTGCTTACGTTTCTATAATATATATATATATATATATATATATATATATATATATATATATATATATATATATATATATATATATATATATATATATATATATATATATATATATATATATATATATATATATATTATAAATACATCTTACAGTATTGTCCTCTAGTTTGTGCAAGAGCAAATTCCCATGCATTGATAAAAACCACAACATTGAGAAACAAAACAAAAAAAAATGCATTAAAAAGAAAATATATAAAGAAAAACAAAAATCAAGCTGCATTGTTTGATAAAGCCGATAAAGTTCTGTTCATTTGAAAATATACAGAGCAAATGAAAGGCACAACCCCTCACGTCCACAGCACCAAAACTGCACCACAGCGCCACATTTTGGTCACACCAGGTTCCATCGCACACACCAGTCCCTTTAAAGAATCTCCGAGCCCGACTCACAAGGCACATTTAACCACGTCTGAGTTTAAACTCAATGTTCCTCAAATGAGTGAAGGAGTCAGATTATCAGAGACAAAAGTGTTTGTCAAAATGGAGACTGTCCAAGCATTAGGTCAAATACTGAAACTAACACGACCAGAAGAGCACGAGCAGCAGTGAAATCATGCTGGTAGGAGGGACACGACTCGATACTGGTATCAAATATGGATGTTGATACGGAAAAAAATGACTGGATCAGGTATTACAGGATAATTTTGTCCTAGAAAGTCTCATGTTTGAACTTTTATCTATATGAAGCTGTTCTGTGGTGATGTGAAGGATGAAGAACAGTTTCATAACACACCTGGATCTCTTGTGTAATAAGTTGACTTTATTTTAAGGAAATAACTGACATCATCTGTCCCTACACTGGTATCGGTTAATATCAGGTATTGGTATCGGTATTGCTGGTTTTCAGATTACACAATGTGATGATGTTATGTTCCCAGATGGGGCCAGAACCAGACTTCTCTTTTGATTACACTGGACTTTACCATGAAATATCCAAAATGTAAATTTACAAATGTTGAACCTGACCATTTCTATGAGTGAGCAAACACAGTCACTTCATGTATTAGAAAAAAATCTGCATTTCAACAATATTTGAGTTAAAAATGTTAAAGTTGACATGTTAAATGTAATGAAAACACTACATTCAGTAGGATACTATCAACTGAATGTGTTTTATTAATGTCTAGTTAATGTTTTTTGTTGTTGTTGTTTTAAGGCACACTTTAAATCTTTTCATTTTCTCAAAAATTGACAGTGCACCTTATAATCTGGTGCACTTTATGTATTAATTCTGGTTGTGTTACTGACCTCAAACTGATTTTATGACATACACGGTGCTCAAAAACCATCAGAATGTTTTAGTACGACTTTGGTAAACTACAAAGCCGCACAGGAGCCTCGCGAAGTAAAGGGCGAAGTATAATTCTGTGTCGACTCAACGCACACTGCTGCTGTCGCCTTGTCACAGAAAGAACAAACATATTGCACTAAGTCATGTCCTTTAGTCCGACAGAAACTGAACTGCATCAGCGCACAAGGAGTTAGCTGTTTTTTTTTTCTTCAGCTCTTATAGTTTATTCAAATTACACATGTGGTTTTAAGTTTCATTTCTGTAAAACATAAACAAATGTGGCAAAGCTGCGTTAAACACATTATTACTTGATGTATATTTGAGTCTTCCTGATAGGAAATAAAACAAACTTAAATTGTCCAGCCACATTCACATTCATAATCCACATTCACCAAGACAGAGAGACAACACCGGGCGAATTACGCCACGATCTGCCGATGGATCGTGGACGCCTGGACTAAGGATCAGTCTCAAGTGTCGTCCTTTTGTTTCTCTTAATGCGCCTTATAATCCAGTGTAATTTATGTATGAAAATAGATGAGAGAATTCAACATTATAGACGCATCAAGAATCTTGGACTTCCGTTTATTGTGCAATTCATACTGGGAAGGATTTCCCACAGAAGTGAGCATCAAACCTCCATGTTTGTTTTCCCAGTGGGAATGTGTCTATTGACAAAGTCGATCTTTTCAAGTCTTTTGAATCATATCACTTTTGTTTCTGGTTCTGATATTGTCATATTTTAGTTTTGGGATTCGGACATCGTTAATTGTGTGGTTGTTGGATCCTAACAGCGGAAAACGACTAGAGAAATTTGTTTGCGAACTCCGTAAATGCAAAAGGGAATCAGATGTGTGTGACTCAAACCTCTGTTCAAACTGTTTCTCTTAACAACAGAAATGAAAAATAGTGAAAGATGAAGGTGATGGACAGGATTGATCCACAGGAAGAACCAAAAAGGAAACTTTGTCTGCCTAAATCATCCCGATTTTACAGTGAACATTTTGTATGTGGAGCGCCATTCCCATTTGTTCCCAATTTCGTTGGGAAGAGAAACAGTTTGAACAGAGGTTTACAGTCACACACATCTGACTCCCTTTTGCGTCTATGGAGTTCGCAAACAAATTTCTCGAGCCGTTAGGATCCAACAACCACACAATTAACGATTAAGAGAAACAAAAGGACGAAACTTGACTTGCAAGACACTTTGGCTTTCATACCCTTAAGTCTGAGCGTCCAGACTTTGATTATCAGTGTGTCGTTATTTCTAATGTGAAACGAATAAACGTAAATGAGATGAGATGAGGGAGGGAATGACGAGTCAGAGCTCTCAGCTGATGAACCCATGCTTGAATACGTTTCCACGGCAACAAATTCAGAGTTTAGTCGGATTTAAATTTCCGATTATTCAAGTTTATCATACTCAGACTTGGTTAATCCAGCGCTCATGAACCAGGCTCTGTTTAAATTGCACTACTGCATTTTCACACTTGATATGATACATGAACCACAGTCTATATTCAAACAGTGAAATACATAAGCCTCTAGTATAGGGTTTAGGGTTTAGGGTTTAGGGTACAGGGTTTAGGGCATAGGGACAGGGTTTGGACAGGTCTGTACACTCATAAATATCACTGATGTGCAACTACGCTCAAACAAAGGCAAGATTAGCTTCGCTGTATTGCACTGGCACCCTTAAAATGATTTCTTCTCAAGTTATAATATTTAAAACGTCTCTAAAAGTGTCTCGGCTCCACAGAGTTCAAAAAGGATCGAGACCGGGACTAGACCAGGATCAGAACCCGGTCCAGATCGGGTCCAGAGGGAGTTTGTATTGCCTCAAAGCAGCAGAGATGAGGTGACGAGGAGTGGAGAGGCAGGCTGCGTTCAGGGACCAAGGGACTGCTCAGGAAAACTGAAATGACTTTAGAATTTGTAATAGCTGGTAGGAGTGTTAAATAAACTACAGGTCTATATTTAACAAGAAAGTTAGAGTAGGATCTTTCTATTTTTTTAAATTGTTTTGGCTGAGATCAGGGCCAAAACGAAAGTAAAAGTAAAAGTAAAAGTAAGGTTGAAGTAGAATTTGAATCCAGAGTTATTACATTTTTACTACATTATTCTGTATATTTTGTTTTATATATTTGAGGTCTTCTGTGTGTATTGAAAATGTAGAAAGTAGTCACTAACTTTTGCCTGGTAGTGTTTTTTTTTTCAAAGTAACTAAGTAATGTTGCTGCTATTTTACCTTTTTTTGGTTTCCTGAATTATAAACTCAAACTAAAACTTTCCACACGCCCAGAGACACCTGAACGCAGCCTGGTCGCCTAATGCTGCTCCTCTGTTGTGATTTTTAAAGAGGCGATGGCTTTTAAACACGTCTGGACATTTTCCTCTTGTCCACAGTCCCGAGCAGAGGGGGCGTCCTGCTCCGACTGCCCCGACCCGACCTCGCTGCTCTGGGGAGAGGCTATGGGCGCGTCCCCCGCTGAAGAACCAGGAGGAGGGGAGCTGGGCGGCACCTGGAGCCCGCCGACGGGCCTGGCGGGCAGGAGGGAGGGCTGAGTGTGCTGGGAGTGCAGAGGGAGGTGGCTCAGCAGGTTTGGAGGGAGAGAAGGAGCCAACACGGGCTTCTGATCCTGAACGAGAAAGGGAAAAGACTGGGTTAAGTTAGAATCAAAAATTAAAATATGGGTCTAAGGACAGGGAATGTTTTAGGACAATTCTGCATTGGCTTGTTTTCTATAAATATCGAGTATTTAGAGGGTTAAAATTTTAAGTTAAAATATTTCAGAGGTGTTTTCAAGACAAAAAGTGTTATTTTAACTATTTGAAAGTTAAATGGGGGTTGGAGTTGGGGTTATTTGTCAGAGTTGATATGGTTGATGTGAATTCAACTTCTCTTAGTGTTAATTTGGCTTCTCCCACCACCACTTCAAACTCCCATGAGAGAGACCAGTTTGAACCAGTTTTCTTCATAATTTCATCTTAAATTAACTAAAATTAAGTGTAAAAATAAAACACCTCTGTGTGTTGTTTAGCTAAATCAGGTTAACCCTACAAAGTGTTACCTGTTTACTCTCAAAATGTTAATATAACTCTTGATTTTGGGGTTAAACAGGAACTTTGGTCCAGTTTTACTTAATTAACATTTCCAAAAATGTTAAATTAACTCTAAAACAGATTGGACTCATATAAACCCTGAGAAAATTGTGATTCTGTGAGAGTCAATTTTAACACTTCACTTGTGTGTTGTGCTGTGTTGTTGGGTTTTCTAACTTTGGTTAAATCTTGTTAAGCTCAGAGAGGTAAGTGCTGCTGTGATTTTGGGCTTTAAAAAATAAACTGAAATGATATTGTGAATTCAAAAACAGAGGTATGATGCTGTAGTCATCTGTGTTGTCATGTGTTGTTGTGTTGAATGACCCATCAGCATGAATCATGTTATACAAAGAATGAACACTTTTGCAGTTAAAATCTTCTCTTGTCTTAGAGCTAATCAAAAGGAGAGTTTGAAGAGGGGCTTGGGGGAGATGTCTAAAATACTCTGGATGCATGGATGACATCTGAGACCGCTTCAGGCACGTTTTTGATGAGGGAATGAAAGGAATAAATGTTAGAACACAGACCAAATCTTCAAAAAGCTGTTTTTTCATAATGTCCCCTCTTGTTCATTAACATTATTATAATTTTAAAGCATTCATTTTACACTATTTTTTAAATTTATGTTCTAATGTAATTTCTTCATCACAAACAGACCTGGACTTGTGTTTTGTTTCATTCACACATTTAACACACAAACATGCACATTTACACTGAGTTCTTCTCTCAGTTTGAAAACACTCCACACTCCACCTTGTGATGTCATGAGGTTAAACAGGAAGAGCTCCAATGTGTTTTTAAGCTTCACTAGAATCTTTTGGATAATTTCAGCCCTGGAATTGGCAGTCTCACTGAACTAAAGTTAAAAGGAGCTGTTAAATTGAAAACTACCACTACAGGCACTGCATGACATCACAAGGTGAAGCAGAGCATTTTGAGCTTTGGAGATGTAGACAAACTCAGTGTTATTGAGTTTGTGTTACTCAAACATGGTCCAGGTGTGTTTTTGAGGATGTAACAACATAATAACACGGCTTAAAGCTCACAAGAGTCACTTTTGTGTAATATAGGAGTATTTAAAAAGTAAATTTGACTTGAACTCACCATCTCCATGTCCTGAGCGCCGAGCTGCTGCTGTTGGACCATCTCGATCTTGGCCTGGTGCCTGCTCTTCTCCCCTTTGTGCTGATGGGACCCTCTCCTCGGGGACACCGCCCGGAGCACCACCCTCTGTCTCCCCCTCTTCCCCACCTCCGACCCGGGGGACAACGGCCGCTCCAGCGCCCCAGGAGAGAGGTGCTGGATGGGGGTGAAGCTGGGCGACCCTGGCCTGAGCGGAGAAGTGTCCCATCTGGGAGAGGAGCGCCCTCTAGGGGACATCTCTCTGCGCGGCGAGGGGTAACGCAGCCGAGAAGGAGACGGTTCCCTGATGGGAGACTCCCAGCCCGGAGAGAGGAGGCAGGACGAGTACGGATCGAACAGGAAGCTCTGGTCCGGAGAGAGGAGAGTGAGCGAATCGTCGTCTGAAGGAGGAGGAGGGTAAGAGCAGCGTTTGGGTACGACGCCCCCTGCTGGCACAGAGGTGATGGAGGCGGAGAGGCTGGTGGCGCCCCCTCCTGGCAGCGCAGTGACAGCAGTAGAGGACAGGAGGCAGGGCTGGGGGCTGGTGGAGCGTGATCTGAGTTTGGGGGTGGAGTCTCCGTCGTAGTCTTCCTCCTCCTCTTCTTCTTCCTCCTCCTCTTCCTCGCCTCCGTCTGAGTCCTCCGCGTCGGAAAACTGGTGTTTGGCTGCAGCCGCCTCCGCCTTCGACTCCACGGGAACATCATCCACTGGAAACACAAGGAACAGGGTTAGAAATAGTTTTAAAGAGAGATTAATCCATAAAACCGGTGAAACAAACGACAAGCTCTGACAATATTTTTTGGCCAATATGGATAAGACCACAGTGCCCAAGTCATTTCCCTTGTTGATCAATAAAGTTTAAAGTGTAAGTGTATTAACATTTCTTCTGCGCCCTCTTCACTCTGAAGTGTCTAAATAAAGTTTGATGCATGTTCTTTAGGCAGAAGATTGGCCCAAGCAAAATATTGGCCAGACATCAGCCCAGACTTCCAGCTGATTTGGCCAACATGACTAAAAATACTACTTTTTAGTGCTTTTTTTTTTTTTTTTTAAGTCTGCCTTCATAACTTGAATAACAAACATTTTGATATGACACAGAGTTAAAAAAAATGTTCCAAGTCTTATTACAAGTGTGCTGGCTCAGTTAAACCTGTGTTAAATGTAACATTTCAAATGATTCACTCCATTGTAATGAGTCTGTGGTCCTTTGCTCCCCTGGGTGAGCCCATAGTTATAACACATGTACACATTTACACAGTTATACACACATACATAAGGCACATACAAAATCAGAACCATCAGAAAATACATCAGATATATTACAGTTATACTACCAGTCAAAAGTTTTAGAACACGACACTTTATTCAGTTTTTTACTGTTTCCTGTTGAACAAAACATATTCTAAACTTTTGATTCATGTGTGTGTTCACCTTTGGCAGATAGAACAGCTGAACACACTCATGGCTCGTTCTTTTTACAATAGAAATCATATATTAAACTAAAACACAACGGACTCCAGGCACTCCAAAGAAGTAACAAATCGCATGAGGCAAAATATAGTTATAAGGCCTTTATTTTAAATTGCCAGAACCAACATGTTACGACCAAACTGGTCTTCATCAGGGTTTAGTTAAAAAAAACAGAGCATGGGTGTGGCCTTTAAGTCAAACACACCAACCAATAACAGACTGGAGTTGATTAGAGGCAGACAAAACAGGTGCGAGATCAACAGCACAGGACATGACACAGGCAAAAAAATATATATACTAGGGCCGGGCACGTTAACGCGTTAACTTTGCGTTAACTAAGTAATTAACGCCGACAATTATTTTAATGCCGTTAACGCAGTTTTTTATTATTTATTTATTATTATTTATTTTAACGTCTGTTTCTCACTGGCTTTTATTTTGAAAAAGTCCACCGCAAGCGTTTCTTTAAGTTTGACATCTTTTCTTTGACACTTTTTTCACTTTTTTCTGACCACATGAGATGCAACGTGCCCGAGCCTCCACGAGCCGCGGGTTCGGCCACAGGCTCCGACTCCCGTCGCGGGCTCTGGTCGCGGGCTACGGCTCCGGCCGCGGACTCAGCCGCGAGTTCAGCTGCGGGCACCGGCTCTGAGCTGAGCTTATTTCTTTAGTTCAGTGCTGGAGTCACTGATTTACCCAGATACCACTGGAAGAAAAAATGTGATCGGTCCATTTCCATTCCATTATATTAACCCTTTGTTTCCTAAGAAATATCAGTCCAAGTTTATAACACTGATCTAGAAATTATTACTAGTGTAGTGTTCATTACTCACAGCATAAAAAATATTCAATAAATATATTAGTAGTACAAACGTACATTCAATATTTTTTCTTGAGCCTTCAGAACACCTTGAAGGCTCTGAGGTTCCCCTGTGAAAGAAATACTGCAACAACAAATGTTTGGCTCTTTCATTTACATTTCCAATAACAGAGCGCTATACTCTACTTTTTAAATTCATTAATTGGTTTTGCATATAACATGCGATTAATCGCGATTAATCGCTCGAACTCATGCAATTAAATTTTTTTATTTTTGCCCAGCCCTAATATATACACATATATATATATATATATATATATATATATATATATATATATATATATATATATATATATATATATATATATATATACACACATATACATATATAATTTATTTTTTTGCCTGTGTCATGTCCTGTGCTGTTGATCTCGCACCTGTTTTGTCTGCCTCTAATCAACTCCAGTCTGTTATTGGTTGGTGTGTTTGACTTAACGGCCACACCCATGCTCTGTTTTTTTACTCAGCCCTGATGAAGACCAGTTTGGTCGAAACATGTTGGTTCTGGCCATTTAAATAAAGGCCTTTTAACTATATTTTTCCTAGTGTGATTTTTTACTTCTTTGGAGTGCCTGGAGTCTGTTGTGTTTTAGTTTTGATCCTTTTTCCCAAGAGCACCCTCTACCTGCTCCCACTGACTGGAACACCTGCAGCAAACGGACATATTTTTGTTCTTTCTGTACAAAAATTAAATATACTTCAGAAAGTTCTTCTTAAGTCTGTTGCAGAAGTTCCATAAATGTGTGGCACTTGTAGGTTGCTTCACTCTTCTGTCCAGTTCATCCCAAACCAGCTCCATGGGGTTTAAGTCTAGACACTGTGCTGCTGCTGGACACTCCAGGTTTTCAAATTTTACCATCTTGTTCTTTTCTCCTGAGGTAGTTCTGGCAGAGCTTGGACTTGTGTTTTGCTCTTCTATCTTTTTTAACCTCTGTCTGTTCAGTTCTTACCTTTGGACCATTTCCAGCTCTTCATTGGACCTGCACGACTTGAATTGCAATAAATAACTGGAAAAATTAAGATGTTCTAAAACTTTTGACCGGTAGTGTATATTAAAGAATCCATGTCTGTGTATACATATGATGTGTGGTGGGAGAGGACGTTGCCATAGACTGACATTCAGACTATCTCAGTGCAGATGTGGTAATAGAAGCAGCTAAACGACAACAGTGTGGAGAGTGAATATAAAATGTAGTGATAAACGGACTGAGAGTGTATTTGAGACTGACCCTGCTCCTGTATCTCAGAGTCGTCCACAGACACAGACACGCCCAGCTCCAGACACTTCTTCATGTGAGCCTTGGACTTCATGTGTTTCGTCAGATTCCCTTCAGAGAGAATTAGAGGATATAAAATAAGTTCTAACAGCTCTAACCCCTGTACACCTCCATGCGTGTCCACAGAGCCCACCTTTAGTCTTGAAGGCGAAGTTGCAGACTTTACACACGTAGGGCCTGACGTCAGTGTGAGTCCTGATGTGCTTCTTTAACATGGACGGTTTCTTACAGCGGATGCCACACTCCTCACAGATGTACTTCCCCCTCCCCCGGCCGCGCACGTACACGTAGTCCTCATTAGACTTGTACCTGCGCAAAACACAACAAATATTATTGGAGGAATAAAAATCAACTGTCTGATACTTTCAAAACAGGAGTAGGGCTGCGAAATTAATCTCAACTGATCGTAATGACAAAATTCTTGCTTTTTTAAAATGAGAAAAGATCTAATTGCAGTTGTAATCATATAGTTATACAACAAGTATTTTATAGAAGACTTAATATATGACTTGTATATGTTTATGTACAGACATTATTTAAGTTAAGGCGTTAAAAAGTAGTATTAAATGTATTAATTAAAGGGCCCATCTCATGCAAAATCAACTTTTCAGAGTTTTCTACCTTCTAAGAGTGATGTGTGGGCCTTGTATTTGTCGCTGAAGTGGTTTTTAGATTGATTTGGTGTTTTTTTTAACAAATTGTGGCGTATTTCTGTCACCCTCCCACATAACAACGAACTAAAGCTGCGACAACAATGACGCGGCAGCTACACCTATGACGCATTTGACGTAGCAGAAAGAGCTTCACACTCGCCCCCCTCCCCCGCTCCACCGCCTCCACCGCCTCCACCGCCTCCACCCCGCCTCAGCATAAGCTCATTGTTCTACACTGCAGTGTCCATGATATAATAAGTTTATCTACTAGTGTTTATTAAAACTTTACCAATCAGTAATGTTCAGCTGATGTGGACTCGGTGCTTGAGCTTCGTGCTCCTCAAAGTCCTCGTCTGATTCCGGGTCCAACACATGCGGCTGAACGCGCTGTATCTCCATGATGAATAAAAGTTTATTTCTACCACTATCAGGGTGCACGTCTGTCTCCCCCTCCCTCCCTGAGATGGCGGAGGAAGGGCGGCTCACTCATCGCCTACGTCATGTTTGGAGGGCGGAGCCTGTGCTTTCTCAGGACGGGCGGGGGGAGGAGCAATAGTCGGTCTTTCATAGTTCCTGGTTGTGACTGTCTCCAAGAAATCAGTAAGATTTCAGAACTATTGTGTAATGGATGTTCCAAAACCCAAATTGTGCTTGTTTATGTGCAGAAGATACAATGTGAAAAGAGTTATTTTACATGAGATGGGCCCTTTAAAGTAAATGTGAGATCTCACATACTTGGTCATTTTATTTATATATTTTGTTAAAACAACTGCAGGGGCATTTTTGGATTTTATTTGGTACGTGAGGACAAACTTTTTTTTTATTTTTCTCATTGTTTAAACCTCACACATGTACATACAAGGCACATACACATTTCGGTGCACGTACCCTCCCTCAAAGATCTTGATCCTGGTGGGGGCGCTCTGTCCGGGGGCCTCCTTCCACTCGTCTTTGCACGTCTTCGGCCTCACGTCCTTGGGCTTCTTTCCGTAGACGCTGGCCTCCGTGTCTCGGGGCTCTGGTTTCCTCTGCATCTGAGGAGGGACATACATTCTGTTCCATCTGAACCATATCGACGCTGTGGTAAAGTGACACTGTGGGATATTATCACACATGGGCCTACTCCCTTTGATTCTGTCTCTGTTTCAAGGAAATGCCCACAATAAATGCTCCTATGGTATTTAATCCCAGAGATCGGGTGAAGGGTGGGAGCTAAAGGACTTTTCTGAGCAGTTACAGCTGAATCAGCGATCTGGCTTTTAGTCTATGGAGATTTAAGTTCACATGAAGAAGAGGAGGGAGCTGTATTCAAGTGGAGAATATCCACTCAAATATGAAGTATATTAGGTAGAATTAAAACTATTATATCCTTAAAAAGAGACAGAAACATCTCGTGTAATCATCTAAACAGGATCCAGATGCATAGATAGAGATTGTCTTGTAGAGAATGCAAAAATTGTACTGGAGCAAATGCACTTGGTCTATTGAAGGGGAAAGAGTTTATCTTAGTCCCACACAGGCTTGGGTGATGCAGCCAAAAAATAAATTCTATACATATGTATATATTTTTTTTCTATACAGTGACAAGTACTTGGTTTTAATTGAAGTCAGAGCTAGAACTGCTGGTCTTTCAAACAGGAAAAGCTCTTTACTTTATTATCATATGCTTCATTTAAGAAATTGTAAACTGCCTTGCAATACATTTGTATAAATATGTAATGAACTAAAAAGAAAGTTTTATTTTTAAAATGAAAATTGCTTCATTGCACCACAGCCCTTGTTTTGTAGAAAGTCTAGAGTAATTTGTTTTATAATAATCCTCAATTTCCAGATTTTGCAGATTTTCACAGCCTCTTTTGTTAAAAACACAAACATCTGTCATCTTCATAAGGATAAGTTTAATGCCATACCTGCGGAACAATCTCACTGGAGCTATGTAGGTAGTGGACCCTCCACTGTAGAAGTTACACATGAGCTGTACACTCAGAGGACAAATAGCCTATATGACTGTACTTTGAAAAGATGAAGCATTATGTAATAAAGACGCCTCGTGTAATAAAGAAGACTTTAGGGATTAGCTTCATTTTCATGGTAAAGTCAGAGGAACATGTGAACACTTATACACTCATACTGCAGCTCTGACTCACACACTTCAAATCTGATCTTTTCAAACTGTTTCCGGACGATATTTAAGACACAAGGACACAATCAGCTGCACAAGAACAGCTCCAAGAGAATTCAGAAAGAACAGAGCATTCTTTAGCTGTGCCAGTGGAATATGTGTGATTAATGTGGGGTCAAAAATATGCAGGACAATCAAGTCAAGTGTTAAGTGATGCAGCGGCTTGTTTGTAACCTACTTTATTTATTTTTTACATAACTTTCAGAAGAATTTGAAAGGTGCACTATGTAACATAGTGAATGATTACTGTTGATTGAAGGAGCCGATGGGTCAGATTGGCAGCCTCACTTCAGTCAGTCTGTCCCAGGGCAGCTGTGTCTACAAAAGTATCTTATCACCACAGAGTAGAGTGGATGAATAATGACTATAGCCGGTAAAGCGCATTATTGTAAGGCATTATTATTATTATTATTATCATTATTATTATTATTATTAAGCTGCTAAATACAGTTTTGTGAGAGTTTAAGTTTAATAATTTTTATGTTTACAGAAATGAATAAACCCAGTAATTACACAGACATTAAAGATAAACCAGGTCAACAAATCTGCATCTGACAGCTACAACAAACTCCACCTGAGAATCTGACCCGTCTCCAGCTCAGGTTAAACTACAGGAATTCTAGAAAATTATCATGTGAGCGCAACATATAAAGGCTCTAAAAATGACAGCATGAACTGAATATTTTTTAAAGGTGCATTGTGTAACTTTTTTGGTGGAGTTTCCATCAAATGCTTTTCTCCACTGAAATGTTATTGCTATATTCATAATGTTTCACAGTATGGCATTAAAACTTTCTATCTTCATGGAGACCAAACCAGACCAAGTTACAGGTCAGATCTGTGGAGAGGCGACTCTGCTCACAGTCAAAATTCTGGATGTTTACCAAAATCACATGTAGTTCCTTTCATTAAGAAGAAATCAGTATTACTTTAGTGGACGCTGTAATGTCCACTTACGCACACTTGACTCTCGCCACTAATTAGGTTAACATTTATTTACTTGACTTTAATTGGCAGATTTGTGGACCTATACTGCTCTACTAAGGCACAAAGCTGTAACATCATGTTTGGTCAAAAATAAGTTCATGTCATTTTGTTCGTATTTGAGACCTCTTTTATCATGTGAATAAATATTGTGAAAAATATTGAGCTCAACCTCGACCTTTGATTCCTATTTGATAGTTCCTGTACGTTGAGTCATGCAAAACTAAGAGGCAGTAACAGTGTATCTTTTATTCGTGAATTAGTTCATAAATATATTTTATTTTCAAATTCAACCTCTCACCTCCTTCTGTTTGTTTTGGCCTTGGCACAGTGTCTCAGCACATTAAATAAATAAACTTTTGTATTCAATTATACTTCAATGATCTTTAATGTGAAAGTATCTGGTGTGTTTATTCATACTGTACATACTATACTGCAAAGTCACTTGTGTCAAACTGTTTCACTGTGTGAAAGTTCTTCTTTATCATTTTAAACAAATTCCATGATGACTCGACCTTAGTGAGGTGTTTTTCTTATAATGGATGGAAGTCTGGACAAAAATCAAGCAAATAATAATGATCATGTCAGTTTCTGCCTTTTGTCTTTGCACGACTCCTTATTTTTGGCTCATGATACAAAGGCAGAGAACAGGAAGTGACAAATAAGGGTCAAATGTCAATTTTGAGTTCAGTATTTTTCACATACAAATATTTCTTCATTATAGGAACTAGTTGTGAAATTTTGGGAGCCCGACCTATTATACTTTTGTCTGGACAAAAGAGAAACTCTGAAGTAATTTTTTTTTCCAGTTTCACACTCTGGAGAGTTAAGATCTTTTGTCTTTGTAGGACAGTATTATTCTAAATTCAAAAATGATAAGGTTCAACAAATGTGGGGATAAATTTGGAGTTACCACCCGAATAAATGTGAGGTAGAGCTGTTTATTGTCATACTGTGGAACATTCCTAGTTGTTTGTTTATCCTCACCTGTTCGACGGTGTGCCTCCAGAGCAGGAGCGAGGACACGAGTTTCCCCGCTCCGGGCTGACACATCTGGGCTGCGCTGTAGATGACGGGACCCCCCTTCTGTTTGGACCGGAGCAGAGCCAGAGCCGAACCCGTGCTTAGGTCCAGAGGGTTCGGGTTATGAGCGCTGATGCACCACACCGCGTACACCGACTGGTAAGGAGGGCCCGCACTTTGAGACACACTTGGTTTGGTGTAGTTTAGGTAGCACCAACTCACTCCCGTCGTGGTGCGAAGACTCGGGAACTGCCGTAAGATTTTCGCGTGCTCTCTGTCGATTATCATCACATCGGCGGTGGTTACGAGCTTAGCTACGACCTCCATAGCAAAACGTTTAGCTTCAAGTTTCACATCTCCCACTGGCATAACATTGATGTCCATTGAAGTGCTGTCCATTGACGATTCGCTGCTTTGCTCCTCCATGGCTCTCTGGATCATTTTGTCTTCGTTAACATTGCATTTGCCGAGCTCCACCGCGCTCAGTTCTTTGGCGATTTCCCCAAACATTCGCTCCTCTTTCACGCGTTTTTGCTGCTTGACTTCCATAAACAAATCCAGGCTGCTGGCCGGAGACAACATCCGTTTGCTCGCACCCCCGCTCGATGCATTGGTTGTAGATATGGTTCGGGATGTGAGCGAAAGAGGTATTCCCGTTTTTAGCTTAGCGGATGACAGGTCTAAAGCTTCAATAGTCTGATCAGAGCTTTCATGGCTTTGTTGCGTTTCTAGATTTCGTTGTATTTGCGGAGTTGGCGAACACAAGCTGATACTTTCACTCTGATTGTCGAAAATTTGCGATACCGTGGTGTAGGTTAAGCTGCCGAAAGATGGCACGTTAGTTTGGATTCTCACCGGGACAAGCAAACTCGGATGGGGCAAATGCGGGAAAGCGCTTCCGGTTGAAAATATTGGCAAACTTTGGGTCAAGAAGTGATGTTGGTGAGATGATTCAGTTTCCATGTTCAAAGATTCCTGCCGTACTAAGTTAGCTCTTCGCTTCTCACCTTTTGCGTAGTCGACCAGTTTGAGCTTAGAAGTCGGCGAGAGGCTTCCGTAGTCAAAAGAGATGCTACGAACTTCCGGTAACTCTTTGCGTAAGTTACAAGGTGCTTGCTCAGATGATGATCTACGCATTTCGTGTTGTTGACGTTGATGCAGCAAGGACAGAGAATGCTGCCCGCTACTTCCTGGTACAGCCAGCAACTCCTTCCCAAATTCATCCAGCTTTCCGGGCGATTTAATACTGTCCTCTCTGTCAAACGAAAATGTTGAGCTGTACGATAAGTTGCTGTCTTGACTCGGGCTCCGTGACAAGCTCGTACACGCCGATTCAAAGCTAGACTCTCCGGACGAATGCTCGATTTCCGCTAAACGTAACCTCTTCTTTTTCGGGGGTAGTTTCTCAGGAGGAAACTGGGCTAACGTTTCACTCCTTTGCGGCCATTGGAACTCCTCAACGTGTTTTTCCGGTTCTTTAACTTGGATTTCCGGAGCTTTCTCTGGACTATCCGGCTCTACCGTCACTCTGATCTCTGGTACTTGGATATTGGGTTGTCTTACGAGCTTAGGCCCCATTTGAAACGACTGCCTTAGCCTGCTATCGCTTCTCTCGATTTCGTACGCATCGCTCGCCTCCATAGGTTGATAATGCTGACTACTGTGGTACTTATAATGCTCAGCTTGCTCCATTTGAATCCTGTTGAGTGAATTTGTATGTTGTATTACTGATATAACATTCCCAAGAGTCTTTCTAGTTGTTATTTCCGCACTTAAAGTCACGTCCATCTCACACATAGCTTGCCCTTTTGCTTTGTAATCACTTTCGTACATAATTTCTTCACTTTGCTCGTGATGCGTCTCGTACTGAATCGGTAAATCCTCCTCCTCGCGCTTCTCTTTGCGGCGTTTTCGCGTCGCCAGCTCCAGCGCGTGTCTGTGGTGACTTAAGTGCGCGGACATCGTCGGATAGTTTTCCATTTCTAAACCGGTTTCGACGATTTTTACTTGGCTTTCTGCAGTTTCCGCGTGGGTTTCGTGCGCGGACAGTTCGAAAGCAGCTTGCCTTCGTAACCTCCTCGAACCACCTGTACTAGTTCTTTCGTCAAATGAGTGGCTGCCTCTCAAAGCTTGTGGCGTTGGTAAACAAACGGCAGAAGACGTAGGCATAGAGTTGCTTCGTATCAACAGTCCCATATCGGAGCTATCCATCTGAGGTTCCTTGATTTCTTCTCTTGTAAACGATTTGGTATTAATCTTTATCGACTCAACAATATCCTTTTCTTGCGTATAAACCCGAGACACACCCCTTTCTGAATCCTTGTAATCACTCATAAAAGCTTGCTTCGGGCTCGGTCTGTAGCATTTTCCGAACATAATTTCCTGATACGATTTTGCGTTTGTATTTGGCGGACCGGTCTGATGTTCTGAACTTTCGGATCTCGAAAAATATCCAGAATCCGTACTTCCTTTGCTGGACTGACTCGGAAGGGACAAATTATGCTCCGAATCGCTGCTACGTTTTTCCGACAACCTCAACGCCAACCTTTGCTTGATAGCGCTGGACGGAATCGCGCGGCTAGGCTCCAGAGTCGAAGAACTGGACTCGTGGTGTTCTTGCGTAGTAGAAGAAGAAATTGTAGTTCCCTTTTTTTGAGCAATAAGGTTTAATACTTTCACAGCGGTATTGTCGGACCCTTCGGTATCCAAAAGCAGCAAAGGATCGCTAGAAGTGTCATCGTCTGTATCCGTGGTCTGGTCTCCGTCGGAAAACTCACCTTCTCCTTCGAAAGATCCATGCTCCGAACTGACGTTATAAGTGCCCATTTCTGTTAACGTCCCCGCTTTTACCGAGTGAGCATGCGATTTGCGATGTTTGTACAAATTACTTTTAGTCTTGAATGAAAATCCACACGGTACACACGGATACGGCCGTTCTCCGGTATGCGAGCGTATATGCTTCTTCAGCACGCTCGGTTTAGCGCATGCCCTTCCGCAATAATCGCAAACGTATTTTCCTGGTTTTTGTTGCGATTTTTGCTCCAGTTTTCCTTCGGACAACTCCATGCCTGGATTCAAACTTTGCGCCAGTCCTTCTTCTTGCAAACTCGGGGACTTTCTCGGCCTTCCAACAGGATTCACAGAAACTTTAACGTCCAAATGACCGGCGGATTTCTCCTCGTCATCTTTGAAGCTACTCGTATCCATGCTTTGACCTTCTTGGAGTAATTTGGCTTTATATTTTTTAGGGGGAACATTTTTGTCAGCGGTAGAAGTAGCAGCGGTAGAAGTAGAAGTAGGAGATTCCATGACTTTGAGGTGGGGTTTCAAGGACAGTCTTGGTTACGTAATGGTGAAGATATTAACACGTGTGTGAATTGATTGCAGGGAAGGGTCATCTGGAAAAGAGCAAGAGAAAGAAAGAGAGAAAATAGGGTTAGAGTTGGATTCAAAGGAAGTAAAACATGCAAAACAAAATGCAAAGTCCTAGTGCTGCAACCAAAACATTATATGGAGTTATTGAAGGGCTGTTTTCTGGTCTATGTTAGAAGGTTATTTCCTCATCACAAACAGACCTGGAGCTGTGCTTTGTCTCATTCACACGTGTTTAAAAGGCGTTCACTTGACAACTACCACTTCATGACATCACAAGGTGGAACAGAGCATTTTGAGATTTGGAGATGTAAACAAACAAATAATAAAAGATTACTCAGACATGTGTGAATGAAACAAAACACAACTCCAGGTCTGTTTTTGAGGAGGTAACGACATTATAACTTGGATTAAAGCTCACAAGAGTAAATTTTGCGCAATATAGGACCTTTAATCTATGCATGATAGACAGTGTTGGGGAGTAACAGATTACATGTACCGGAGTTATGTAATCAGAGTACAAATTATGAGTAACTGTATTCAGTTACAGTTACTGTTTCAGTGAGTGGTAATTAGATTACAGTTACTTGGTTGAAATAAATGGATTACATAGAGGTATTTTCCTGTTTTCACATTTTGGGCTATATCCCTTTTTTTTTTTCTTTTTTTTTCCTCCGGTAATTCCACTCATTTCCAGACACTGAACCAGGTCTAAACCAGGTCTAAACCAGATCTAAACCAGGTCTAAACCAGGACCAAACCAGGTCTAAACCAGGTCTAAACCAGGTCTAAACCCAGATCTAAACAAGGTCTAAACCAGGTCCAAACCAGGTCCAAACCAGGTCTAAACCAGGTTTAAACCCAGGTGCAAGCCAGGTCTAAATCTGGTCTAAAACCAGATCTAAACTAGATCTAAACCAGGACTAAACCAGGACTAAAACCAGGTCTAAACTATGTCTCAAACAGGATTTAACAGGACTAAATCATGCTATGTGGACCTTGTGTCCTCGTCTTCTAACAATAATATTTTTAATTTGGTTAAGTAAAATCTGGGCTTTTTCTTTTCTTTTATCAGACAAAACATTTTATGTGAAGATTTCCTAGTCTTTACTTCTCTACGGCAAATCAAGTAATCCAAAGTATTCAGATTACGTTACTCACTTTAAGTAATTTAATGGATTCTGTTACAGGCTACATTTTGGTGTGTGTAATCTGTAATCTGTAGGAGAATACATTTTAAAAGTCACCTTCCCAACACTGAAGATAAATGCAGTTAAAGCCATACTGTTGAACATTCCAAGCAAAGCAACAGCATCTCCATGGAGACAGAAGACCATGCCACCAGAAAAGTGAAAAGCATAAATCTTGTACTTAAATCCTTAACATAGGTTGATAATGCTGACTACTGTGGTACTTATAATGCTCAGCTTGCTCCATTTGAATCCTGTTGAGTGAATTTGTATGTTGTATTACTGATATAACATTCCCAAGAGTCTTTCTAGTTGTTATTTCCGCACTTAAAGTCACGTCCATCTCACACATAGCTTGCCCTCTAGCTTTGTAATCACTTTCGTACATAATTTCTTCACTTTGCTCGTGATGCGTCTCGTACTGAATCGGTAAATCCTCCTCCTCGCGCTTCTCTTTGCGGCGTTTTCGCGGCGCCAGCTCCAGCGCGTGTCTGTGGTGACTTAAGTGCGCGGACATCGTCGGATAGTTTTCCATTTCTAAACCACTTTCGGTGATTTTAAGTGGCTTTCTGTAGTTTCCACATGGGTTTCGTGCGCGGACAGTTCGAAAGCAGCTTGCCTTCGTAACCTCCTCGAACCACCTGTACTAGTTCTTTCGTCAAACGAGTGGCTGCCAGAAAAGTGAAAAGCCTAGCGTACCTTTAAATCCTGTACTTATATCCTTAACTTTTTAATTTGTGTATAAAAATGTATAGTCAAATATAATTAATACGGTTGCCTTTTGCTCCTGTTTTTAAGTCCCTGTGCATCAGGATCTTTAATGATGAAAACTAAAACTGGAGTGAAAGCTGTTTACCAAAAAGCTGCTGATAATAAACGTTAAACTCTGTGAATAAAGTGTATCATAACAAGCCTGATCTCTGCAGGAGCAAGAAATCTGACTTTTATTGACACTAAAATACAAACAGATAAAGTTCAGAGCTTCAGATTCTCCAAATCTGTTCAACTATAAAAGCAGGTTATGTTTCAGAAGACGTTAACACAGGTAGTGACACTGTACTGTTTTTCAGGTAGTAGTAGTAGTAGTAATTAAATGGCAGGACTTTCTTTTCTATTCCCATGTGTCTTATATGTGTGTAACCCCTCAGTGGTCCAGGTAGGTTCCATAGTGGTCCATGAGGGTAAACCAGAGTCCTGCACCGGGTCGGGTACAAATAGTTCCTGAAACGCTCAGGTTTTAATGTTCTGGAATTTTACGGGCGGATATGCGGGTGAGTAGTGATTACACACGGGCGGGTCAGGGGAATCAAAAGAACGACAAATGGGAGAAAAATACCTGACACGTGTCCAGGACGTTCGTTGCCCTGGAAACAAATGCAGGTCTTTTTCTCGAACAATGGACCAGGCTGAGAGGAACTTTACTGTTTTTATTACATATAATTCATCAGCGGAGGCGACTGGCTTGACAACTGCGCTCTTGGTTTAATCCTGGTTTAATCCTGGTTTAGACCTGGTTTAGACCTGGTTTAGACCTGGTTTAGTCCTGGTTAAGTCCTGGTGTAGTCCTGGTGTAGTCCTGGTGTAGTCCTGGTGTAGTCCTGGCGATCGGCTCGGTGGTTGCGGCGTGTATATATTTATAATCCGCTAATGACATGGTGTAGGTTCAGTCTTGGTTTAGTCCTACTTCAGTCGTGGACCAATGCCCTGTTGGGCTAATGGTCTGACCCCGATTTATCACGGGCACGGACGGGTAATGGGTGGATTGTTAATGGGTCCGGGCGGGTGCAGATTTAACTTAATTTAACTTAAGCAGGTGTAGTGTTGAACTGCACAGGTGCGGGCGGGTGCCGGTCTCCAAAAATGGACCCATACAGGACTCTGGTGTGTACTAGTCTGTGCTCTTAAAAACAGCTCAAGATCATTGTAAACCTAATAATTCAATTTTCAATGCATGTCTGAATTTCTTTATAAACTTTAATATTAAAGACATTTGTTTATGTATTTAACTTTTGCAGGGGTTGTGTGTAATTTTGTTAAACTTGTTTGTATGGCAGCAATTTCCAATCCCGCCTCACCTGAAGCCGCCTCCCCTCTGTTTAAGGAGATAGTTTGCGTCCGCTTGGGGCCGCTGGCCTTTGTGCCCGGTCTGCCATTTTGTGTGTTTTCTGTGTCTCTCTTTCTGTCAGTCTCTTTGTTTTGTACTAGTACGTGTCTGACTTTGTGTGTATGACGCTAGTTTAGTATAGTTCTGTTTTGTGTCTTTTTTTGTCACTCGATTCTGTTTGTGGGTTTATGTGACTTTATTTTGGGACACTTGCGATGGAGTTTTGTTTTATGTCCCTTAGTTTAGTCACTCGTTTTTGTATAGACCTGCGTGACCCGTTTTGTGACACAAAACCTGTTATTTGTTAAGTTGTTATTTTGTTTCTTAGTTTAGGTTATTTTGTGTATATATTTTAGACCACTTTTGTTATGTTGCCTTTTACATCCTAGTTCATTAAATTATTACTTTATTTATACCATTTTCCATCTTGGTTTTTATTCCCGTGACCTGTCCCCTGCTTGTTTCTATGGAGATGTCATTGCTCTGCCTGGAATGTTCCACAGTATGACTTTAAACAACTCTACTTTACATTTATTCAATTACAGGTGGTTTTATAGCTCAAAAACACCTAGAAAAACAGACATTCTGACTGTGAGAGGGGTCGCCTCTCCACAGATCTGACCTGTAACTTGCTCTGGTTTGGTCTCCATGAAAACAGACAGGTTTAATGCCATACTGTGAAACATTCCAGACAAAGCAATAACATCTCCAAGGAGAAAAACATTTAACAGAAAAGTTACACGACGCACAATGACGAGGAAACAGCGTTACAACATAGATCAGAAAATATGGTCCATTTATCACGAAAATAGGTGTTTCTTGTACATTTGTTGTATTTCTATCATGTCATTGAGGTTGTGTTCCAGTGTTTGGTCTGGTCTCATTCAGCTCCACACGACTGAAGCACCTTTAAATGCCTCAATTTCCACTGATTCAACAGTAACAGGCTCCAGACTCTGATATCACTGGTCTATTGTGAACACAGGCCTCCTGCTGCGGGGAACTGTACACAGCAATATGTGGATACGAGCACGCTGGAACACATCGAAGTCAACCAAAACAGGACTGAAACAGGACTGAAACAGGACTAAAACAGGACTAAAACAGGGCTAAAACAAGGACTAAAACAGGACTAAAACAGGACTAAAACAGGGCTAAACAGGACTAAAAACAGGACTAAAACAGGACTAAAACAGGGCTAAAACAGGACTAAAACAGGACTAAAACAGGACTAAAACAGGGACTAAAAAGGGACAAAAACAGGCTAAAAAACTAAAACAGGACTAAAACAGGACTAAAACAGGGACTAAAACAGGGCTAAAACAAGGACTAAAACAGGACTAAAACAGGACTAAAACAGGACTAAAACAAAAACAGGACTAAAACAGGGCTAAAACAGGACTAAAACAGGACTAAAACAGGACTAAAACAGGACTAAAAACAGGGCTAAAAACTAAAAGGACTAAAACAGGACTAAAACAGGGACTAAAACAGGACTAAAACAGGACTAAAACAGGACTAAAACAGGACTAAAAACAGGGGACTAAAACAGGACTAAAACAGGACTAAAACACAGGGCTAAAACAGGACTAAAACAGGGGACTAAAAACAGGCTAAAACAGGACTAAAACAGGACTAAAACAGGACTAAAACAGGACTAAAACAGGGCTAAAACAGGACTAAAACAGGACTAAAACAGGACTAAAACAGGGCTAAAACAGGACTAAAACAG